AGAAACGATTAAAAGAGTTTGTTCTACTTTAAATGCAGCTGACCTGCCAAAATTTCATCAATCAAAGAGAATTATGAAATTGGAAAATGAAACTATGACTTACCTATAGAAGATTCTGACTGATAGAAGACAGCACTGATTCTCATACTATGAAAATTAAGAGCAGAATGTTTTAACACACCTAATATTAACCCCAGAAAAAAAAGGATTGTAAATCTTCACCTGTGATAAACTTATTGTAAAATAGTTGCAAAGTTATTGTCAAGAAAGTTTTTTGTAATGGGTATATTTTTGTTAAGGAAATTTAATTAGATGTATACAGTCTAATCAATAGACTGATTAGTCATCAATACACAAAGCAGCTATAAGAGAAGCATATAGCTTAAAAATAAATTAAAAAAATTGGCTTCTCAATTTTGATGGAAAATATTTAAATCATATAAAACAAACTAGTATTGGTGCTAAAAGATCAGAATTAAGAAGTTTCATAATGTTATTGAAACTCCGACCAACATTTTGGTGATTCTGATAAAAGTGATTAGTTAGGGATGGGTCTTGTAACATTTATTTTTGCCTGGGTGACCTATCACGCCTTTATTTGTCATTCCTATATTTTTTGCACAGCAGCTTTGTTTGTCAAGGTTTGTGCTTCAGAGTCATAAAATTGAGAGGGTAAAAACAAAAAAGCTTCTTACTTATTTACCTTGATTATATTATTGTAATTAATCGCTTTTGTAAATAGATGAAGTTAAAAATGAAATATAAAATAAATAAAAATAAAAAAAATTAATATAAAAAATATATTTAAATAGTAAAATAATAAATTTGAATATGTATAAATAAAAATAAAAATTAAAAAAATATATATAAATATGATAAAAATAGTATAAAAAAAGTAAAAAAAAACAATACAACGAGAACAAAAAGAACATATCCCCGAAAGTCGTTAACTAGGAGGCTATATATATTAGGGTACATCAAACGCCCCATACTTTCAAAATTTGATCTGTCCCTATTCTTAAAACCATCTGTTGGTTTTCACGAGACACTCTGTTAAATTTTTTCAAAATTGAATGAGATTTAGGGGGGCCACATTAAGTCTGAAACTTGCAACGAGACCCTAAACAGAAGAAAAAAAAGTTTTACAAATGTATGTCATGTTGGGTCTCAAAAGAAGCGAAACTTTATAAAATTTTACAAATAGTTATGATTTTTTGTTAAAAATACCTTGAAAAAAAATTTCGACCAAAAACCATGAAAAAATAGCTTTTTTTACTTTTTTGCTAAAAAATAATTTTTATGCAATAAAACTTATAATAATAAATATTATTTAAAATTTTTGTTGTTTTTAAATTTTTTTATAAAATTTTGCTTCTTTTGAGACCCAGCATGACATACATTTGAAAAACTTTTTTTTCTTCTGTTTAGGGTCTTGTCGCAAGTTTCAGATTTGATGTGGCCCCCCCCCCCCCCAAATCTCATTCAATTTTGAAAAAATTTAACAGAGTGTCTTGTGACTACCAATAGAAGGTTTTAAGAATAGGGACAGATCAATTTTTGAAAGTATGGGGCGTTTGATGCACCCTAATATATATATATATATATATATATATATATATATATATATATATATATATATATATATATATATATATATATATATTAGAGATGTGCCGGAACCAGTTTATGCCGAGTCTCCGATTCCGGGTACCCGGCTGAAAAAACCAGGTCCGAGGTCCGGGTCCAGGTACTCGGCACCGAGTCCATTTTTTTAAAAGTTAGAATAAAAACTTGAAATCTCTAGCGCTGAACTATTCACACAAAATACACTTTTTACGCTAACTAACCAAAGGTTATGTGGCGGAAGTACCATTTAGCAAAACCCCGCAATGCAGGGTAAGGGGCCTGAGTTGTAGGGCCTAACTTTTTTCAAAAGTTGTGCAACAGTTTTTTATTAACTATATTTAGTTTAAAATTATTTTTCTTTCCTGGTGGAGCGGGCCTAAATAATATTTTGTTATAATTATTATCGAAATTAAAATATGAAAAATGTGTATAATATTTACCTTATATCTCTACTTTTATGATTTTTGCTTGATACGAATGAAAAGTGGCATCAGCGTTCGGAAGCATTATAAGCGTTTCATTCAAAACTAAATTGCTAAAAATTATCTTGTGTTCTAACAGAATAAAAAGAAGCTATTCTAAAACTTTTTTTCCCATTCTTTTTATTTGTATTCTCGAATTATTTCATTTAGCGTTGCAGTTTTTGTATCCGTATAAATTTTTTTGCAAAAATGTATTAAAAATATTTTAGGTGAGATTGTTTCAAGTTAATAGAACTTTGTGGTTATCGACTACATAACATTCTTAGACTTATATCAAGAAGTTTAATGGTTAAAGTTTAAATTTAAGGAAAAATCAATTTGAAGATACCCGGTGCCGGGTACTGCAACAAAATGGCCGATACCAGGTACACGGTAAAACAGCCGAATTGCCGGGTCCCCGGGTCCGAACCGGGTACTCGGCACATCACTAATATATATATATATATATATATATATATATATATATATATATATATATATATATATATATATATATATATATATATATATATACGGTCGACTCGATATCTGAACACTAAGGGGACCGTAAAAAAGTTTGAGAGTTCGAGATATCAAGAAAAGGGTTGAAAATAAATAAAATTGCCAGACTTTCATTAAAACAAGTTATTTTTCTGACAAAAATCATTAACAACAAAAACTACAACTTTTGGAAAAAATCTGTATCTGATATTGCTTTAAATTATCCATCTTTTCCATCTTCATTAAATCCTCAGGTTTTAGTGCTAGGGATTGTATTTCATTTCCGTATTTTGAGCTGTATAGCGAAGCATTTTGATTCGTTTCAAAAGCAATTTGTAATTGAATATCAGATGGGCGTGGCGGGGCTTTGATGTCAATAGCTTCGTCAACGCTATCTTCAACTTCATTATCGTTGTTTCCAAAATTAGGGTCTAAAATCTGAGCAATGATTTCAGCATCAGTAGCAAGTGAACCGGTGGTTACTACATCGCAACCTAAACCAATGTAAGTTTCTGCTGAGAGATCTTCTTGGACGGCACGAGGATCTAACTCTCGCAAACGGTTAAGTTCTTCTTTCAAAAATTTAATAGGATGATCATCATCAGCTTCTTCAATACTCTTGTTTGTTTTGCTGGTACCAGCTTTTTTAAAGCAGTTGATGACAGTCTCCTTTGACTTTGACTTGAAGTATAGAAATTTTTGGGATGGGTTCGTTATTATCGACAGCCTTGATACACAAACGCACAATTTTGTGACGATAATGAGCTTTAAGACTTCGTATTACGCCTTGATCCATGGGCTGAAGGACAGATGTGGTGTTAGGGGGGGAATATTAGGTTGATGTTACTTAGCCCTTCAATGTGTGGGTGGGCAGAACAGTTATCTACCAGGAGTGCTACTTTCCTGTCTTGAGCACGAAAAAATGAGTCAAGTTTCATTACCCATTCTGTAAAAAGGTCTCCGGTCATCCAACTTTTTAGCTGATTTTTATATGTGCAAGGAAGTTGTTTAATGTGCTTAAAACACCGTGGGTTTTTAGATTTTCCAATAACAAACATAGGTAATTTTTCTCCCTTTGCACTCCCTGCTGCTATGCCTGTTAGTCTGACTTTACTATTTTTTCCCCCAAAACATTTTTCTCATGATAAATGGTATGTTTTGTTTGGTAGGCACTGGTAAAATAGTCCAAACTCATCGGCATTGAAAATGTTTTCAAGTTTGTAATTCAAAAACAATGTTGGAAGTGTAGTTTCATTCCACGAAGTAGTCATTATTTGTCACGGGGGCACTTTCGCCTGAGATTATTTTAAAGCTAATGCCGTTCCTAAAAATAGGAACAGAATAATTGAATTTTAATTACACGTTTAAAAAACTAAATAAATTAAATATAAACAGATACATGTTATTTGTTTATATTAAGATTGAACAAGATTTGATAAAATTTAACTGACCTTTTTTTCCAATTATGAACCAACAATCAGATGCTTTAAAATCCAACTCTCCTAATGCTTCTGCGAATTTTAGTGCCTTTTCTTTTAGTATGGTACCATCAATTGGTACTTGTTGACTTCTTTTTGCAACAAACCACATGTATATGGCCTTGTCTACATTTTTCAAATTACCACTACGAAGTTTCTTCCGTTTAGATTTTGTGCCATTTTTTTCCAGTGAGGTTAATAACTTGGTTTTATTTTTAATCCAGGTTGATAATGTGTTCTTTGGGACTCCATACTTTTTGGCAACCTCTTTGTTAGACATCCCTGTCTCTAGATCTTTTAATGCCTTGCATTTTTCTATTATAGATTTGTTCATGAGTTTTCATTTAACGAGCAGCATGTTGTTGCGTTTGACAAAAAGAATAAATTAATATATTAAAGGAAAACTTTTCAGAAATTCAATTCTTAAAAAAAATTTACAAATCGAATTAAAAATTTTTTTTTTTTCGAAAATTGGAATTTAAAAAAATTAAATTTTATTAAAACATTTTTGAAAAAAAAATGTTGAAAAGTTCGAGATAACGAGAGAAAATTGCCCTGTGGACCGAAAATATTGTTCGAGATACCAAAAAGTACGAGATATTAAGGTTCGAGATATCAAAAGGATTTTATATATATATATATATATATATATATATATATATATATATATATATATATATATATATATAAAAATATATATATATATATATATATATATATATATATATATATATACATAATCAAACTTATATGCGTATGTTTGCAATGGTATGTATACCATTGCCACATTCACATTCATAAAAAGTAATTTTGATTGTTACTATATGAATAATACTAAAAATAAATATAGAACCTTGTTTTTGATAATAGTTTAGTATTATCAAGCTTTTATTATCAAAAACAAAATACATTTATTCTAATGCTTTTTCTTTAGGAGTCTATGGGTACTCCACCTTCAAGTAATGGGTCATTTGAAATCGGAATGAAGTTAGAAGCTTTAGACCCATTCAATCCATTGTGTCTTACAGTTGCGAGTGTTGTTAAAATACTTCATTTTAATTATTTTGTAGTGGGACTTGATGGTCAAGAAGTATTTTTTATTTGTCATTCTAGTAGCAATAGCATTTTTCCTGTTGGTTGGTCTAAACAACACAAAGTGTTTTTAACTCCACCCAAAGGTATTTTTTTATATTGCAAATAAGCATACATTTATTGGTTTTAAATATAAAGCATATATAAGCATATTGGCATTTGGTATAGGAAGTATTGGTTATCTGAAATAAGATATATCTTATTTCAGATCACCCATATTATATAAATCATGTACATATGATTTATTAATACCAAATATCTGTGTCAGTATTTATGTTTAAAATTGACAACTCAAAGAGTTAATACCTATCTGTTGGCAAATTTATGGGTGGCAATTGTGTTCCCTTAGTATCATTGTATTTGTATTCCTCAGTGTCATTGTGCTTGTATTTCCTTGTGTCTTTTGTAATAATATTTTATTTTAATATGTTTAGATATGATTGGGAAGCCTTTTGATTGGGACAAATATTTGCTTAAATGTGACTCTATTGCAGCCCCTGCTCATTTATTTTTGCACCTAGTAAGTTTAAAACAGGTTATTTATATATTTATATTTATTAGTTTATTGTTTATTGGTTGGAGGCTTATGTTTTTTGTTCAATGCATGGTTCAAGTCCTAATAATTGTGTTGGTAACTTTCAGAAGTAACAGTTTTATTAGGCTTTAACAGCATAGTAAACTGCTCCTAACTGATCCCACCAAATGCACAGCATAACCTTACTTCCATGAATGTTTTGCTGGTTTTCATTTTAATTTTCATCTCTAAATGAACAAATAATTTTTTGTGTTTAAAGTTAAAACAAAAGTTTTGTGTGATATTTTGAGTGACATTTAACTATTCTGCAAATGTTTGAGCTAGGTTTTCATTCAATAATGTATCCAATTCATCATCTTCAAACTATTTGGTTTACCAGAATTTTTCTGCTGAATTCTGGTAAGTTCTTCAAAATTCCACAATCTTTATCACCGGCAACAATGTCTCCACTTTTCAATCTTTAAAAACTGACTTTCAATTCTGCTGAGTTGTTGCATGTTGACCATAAACTTCTTGAAGCATAAACTCTTAGCAGCTTTTTTCTTTTATTTAAAGCAAATGATCATTGCAAGTGCTGGTAGAAAATTTGATATTAAAATTCAATAAAAAGTATCTTGTTTATGCATAATGATTTTAAAGTGTCATTTTAAAGTGTTCAAGAATGTTTTGATTGGAATAAATATTTCTAAAAAACTAGGTTATATATTATAAGCTTAATTAAAAGTTTAATTTAAAAGTTTGACTCTACTAGTTATTTTTTAAATCTAAATTTCAACGAATAAGTGCTGAAAGTTTCAAGAACAAAATTTTTTTTTAATTCAATTAAATACATAATAAAATAGGATTGTATGTAGAGTTGCAAAAAAAACTGTTTTTTTTTAATTGTGTTTTTTTTTGCAAAAAAAACATGTTTTTTTTGTGTTTTTTGTGTTTTTTATGGTTTTTTTTGTTTTTTAGATAAAAAAAAAAAATTTTTACTTTTATTTAATTTTTATTTTTATTATAAATGTAATATAATATATATTAATAACATGATATATGGTAAATATATAGTACATCATTTAAAAGATTTATTTTTAATTAATAACAGATTCTGTATTCTGGCTTTCTTGTTCATTAAGGTCTTCTATTGTAAAGTCAAATCCGTATTCTTCAGAGTCGCTTGATAACTCTGACTCTAAACTCTTGTACTCTCCTAAAATTTTATTTTTCTGAGTTGTGAATGGAACTCTTGTTGAAGAATACAATTGTTTTAAAGGAGGCTTATCTGATTTGGTTTTATTTGCCTTACAGTCTCCAAACTTAGGGGTTGTAGACCTACTTTGGTTTCCAAAACAGCTTGGTGTTGGAAAGAAAGACTCAATTGGAACTTGTGGAATAGCAGATGATAAACATTTTTTTTTCTCTTTTTTCATATCTTGAATAGGTAAGTTTTCAGGAATATCTTCTTCCATCATTAGTTCAGTTTGAACTTTCTTCTGTTTAAAAGGAATATCGTTCAAATATTTGTTTTTTATTTGATCGCCACATTTCATACATTTTGCAATGTACTCAGTCATTCGAGTGCCATTTTTTGATAGCTTTAAGCTGCAAAATTTTCATATAACTTGTTGAATTTTAGAACCTCCAGATTCTAAAGGTGCCTCATTGAACAATGTAGCTACAAAACATTTCTTTCTTTTTTTTAAATTCCTTTTTTTTTTTTTAATTAAAAATAATTAATAGATTACAAATTGTTTAATATAAATGTTTTTTAATTAGACAAATTTAATCATTGTGTTATTTTTATTTACTTGAATATTGTTTGAATAAATAAAATTTTAGCTATCTAATTGCAATTTAAAATAAAATAAAGAAATTAAATATTAAAAATTTAAAAAAGTAATATACAAAAGTAAATAAAACATTAAAGTAAATTTTATTTAACAGTTGGTTCATTTTTGTATTTTGCAATGCAGTGTTATTTCATTCATTTTTATGAATGAAATAACACTGCTAAAATAACATTTTTATTTCCTTCATTCAGTAGTATTATACTTACAATCAACTAGTAGCTAATAGTATAGTTTTTTTGAGATTTATTTAAAAAATTACTTTTTTAAATATTTAATACTGTTTTTTTTTAATATTGGTGATTAGTTTGTAACAGCTATTATATAAGTTAATATGCATTTTATTAAATAGAAAACATTTGTATTTTGTAGGTTTAAGGGCACTGGAACTGTTTCAAGTATTATTATTATCTAAAATTTAATGAATACTAAAAAAAAGCAAAAAAAACTATAAAAAACATGTTTTTAGAACCAGTCTGTTTTTTTTGCAAAAAAAACGTGTTTTTTTTAAAAAAAAAACACCGTTTTTTTTGGGGTTGCAACTCTAATTGTATGTATAACCTTGATGTAGTGAGAGAAGTTGGGTTTTCTGGAATTTTTGTTTTTGTTTTGTTTTGTTATTTTAGTGACATTGCATAGGTTGTACGGTTGTACCTATTGCATAAGTTGTATTTTTGCCTTGATTATTTTTGGTTGCATAGTTAGTTTTGGCAGTGGTGGATTCAGGAATTTTTGTTGGGGGGGGGGGGGGTTGAAATATTTTTTTATCACTTTTGCATCTCCAAAAGATTATGGAGAGGGGGATGCATTCTCCTCCCTGGATCCATCACAGATGATAAAAGTGTGTACAATTAAAAGATTTATGATTAAAGTGTGTACAATTTGTGTATATATATATTTTATATATATATATTATATATATATATATATATATATATATATATATATATATATATATATATATATATATATATATATATATATTATATATACTTTTTTTTTTTTTAATAGAAAAAAAGAATATATCCATTTGAGATCGGAACCAAGGTTGAAGCAGTGGATTTGCGTGAACCTTCTTTTATTTGTCCTGCTACTATTGTTGCCATACATGGTAGTTTACTTCGTGTCCACTTTGATGGATGGGATTCAACTTTTGATCAATGGGTTAGCCATGAATCATATGATTTGTTTCCAGTAAATTGGTGTGAAAGAAATGGAAAATCTTTGCAACCACCAGGGTGAGTGATACAATTTATATTTTTTACTTCATTTGATGGTTTAATTTTTGTAATCGAGTCTAAAATGAGATTTATATTTTTTAAAACTTTAAAAATATACTTAAACAAAAACATACATAAAAAGATCAAACTAAAAAAAACCAATAATTAGTTATAAAAAAGTTAACCAACAGTGTAATATATTCTAAGAAAAGTTAACCAACAGTGTAATATATTCTAAGAGAAGTTAACCAACAGTGTAATATATTCTAAGAGAATCCTAAGAGAATTTACAGGGCTTTATAGCTATGAGCACCAGTAAATTGTACATGTTAACTGGTAATAACGAAAGTAGTAATAGTAGTAGTAGTAGTAGTAGTAGTTGTAGTTGTAGTTGTAGTAGTAGTAGTCTACTTAAATGTTTACACTTTATTTTTGTTTGATTTACAAACATTATCTAATAAATATTTTATCTTTGTCACTAATCTTTTATTAATGCAATTTTAGAGAAAATCTTTTTCCATTAGAAAAGAGCTTGACTTTTGAATACTCCTTTTCATATGCAAAATTTTCTTGTGAACTTATGATAAAATTAAAACTTTTTAATCAAAAATTGTTTCAAATTTCAAATCATTTTCAAGATGAGCATTTTATAGGCAGGTTAACATGAAAAAAAATTTAATGTTCTATAAGTTTATATAGAAGTTTTTGTTGTAATTTTATCCATTGCAGTATCCGTTAAAAGTTTTTTTTAAATTTATTGTTTTTGAGTTAATGAGTTAATTTTAACAATATTTAAAACAATGCTTGATTTTTTAACAAACTTTGAAGGTACAAAGCAATCTTTGTGTAGTTTTTTTGGTTGTTTATCTTATTTATTTTTATTAAACTTTAAAAGTACAAAACAATTTTTTATTTTTTGTTTATTTATTTGTTTTGTTTAATTAAGGCAAAAACCTTAATAAGTTAGATCATAAATTTTTTTTGAATAGATCGCTGTCGCCAGACCCAGTTCTTGAAGCAATCAGAGGGAAAAAATCTCAACGCAGAACAACTACACCTGGACGTATTGGGCGTCCTCCTGGCTCCTTAAATAAAAGTCATACTACTAGAACTTCAACCGGAAGAAATTCTTCTGGTAAGGGAGCTAAAGGTGGAAAAGCTGAAGCCAAACAAGGAAAACTAAAGCGTACTCCTTCTGGCTCAAATATTCCATTTGAGAAACAAAGGTTTGGAAATTTACGAGGTAATTTTTATGTTGTTTTTGTTTATAACAATATATATATATATATTTTTATGTTGTGTTATTTATATTTTTTTGTTGTTCATTGTGTTATTATTATTTTTTTAATTTCAGAAATGAGAAAAGGAGGAGAAGTGCAATTTGCTTTTAATCAATATTGTGCTTGCGGTCCATTTCTGAACCCAGATGAAATTAGAAAACTACCAGATTCAATAAGTGGTTATTTAAATGGACCTCCTCATCAAAACTGTATAAGAAAAAGCTTACACGAAATCGTTAATGCAGCGGTTGATCCCAACCAGTTATTAGAATTATTTAGTAGAGAGTTTTATCAATCAAAAAGACATAAGGATTTAAAATTAGACAATTCAATATGTCTTGAAATAACGGGCAAAAATGGAAAACGCTTTTTAAGGCGTGTTAGAGGTCCTAGCAGATCTAGTATTCTTTCCAAATACTTGCGACGTATCTGTGAAATGCTTCAATGTTGTCCAAATATGATTGTAGAGGAGAGGTTTCCGTCAGGCAAATGTCTCACTGGTTGTCATAATATATGTGAGTTTTATCTAGTCTAGATAAGAGCTCCCTAATAATAAGTTATATTAGAAATCATTATAAACACTATCATGTTTATAAATTCTATTATTAATTTATAGTGATTTAAAAATTATTTTTATAGTTACTTTTGCAGCACTGAGTTTGCAGCCTTTTACAGTAATTTTTTATTGTTGTTTTTACAGATAGAGATGGGTCTTCATCTGTATTACATATTGATGGGATGTCTCAACATAATGTTAAAATTATTGATGATGACAATATGGATGATTACGATGAAAAAGATTATGCTAAAATGGAAGAATATTCTCCTCAATCTGACAAATTAGTGACTTCTAATTCTTTTGTTACAAGCTCGCAACGGCATTTATCGTTAGATTCACCTTGCAACCCCTCTTCGTCATCAGCTGATAGAGGTATTGATCCTCTAAATTTACTGGATCAAGAGTTTTTAAGTTCAAAGGATCCACGCGAATGGAGCGTACAAGAGGTTATGGATTTTATGACTGCTATTGGATGTCCTGCTCACGCCCCATCGTTTCAAAAACAGGTAATTATCTAATAAAAAGTAGTATTGAAATTTTGTATTTGTCTAATAGAAATATTTGTGTTGAATCTATACTTGATTGTGTGTATAGTAGGGCAATCAAATTTTTTCAACGGAAGTTTCTTTTCTCTTAATTTTGTTGCATTACAGAATACAGTTTATGAATTTTCAAAGTTTTGGTTAAAATAATTAATTAGAACTTTTAACCAATTAAGTTTAATAAAGTTGCTTAAGGTACATCAGATGAGTAGCGAGCTAATTGTTGAAATGCAGCACATATGTTGATATAGTATATTGATAATGTTCTTGCTTTTAGTATATTGATAGTTTTCTTGGTTTTAATTGTTTTTATTGGATAAGCTCAAACTTAGTTTGTTCTTTGCGTTTTATCTTTGTTTGTACTTTGTAATTAAACAGCTAATAAATATTTTTCAAAATCCAAAGATCCAGATAGTTTTTTCCAACAATTATAATTATTTCTAGTATCTATTGTAAATTAGTTTTGTGTTAAGTTTATGAATCAATTGCCTTATAATTTGTGTCTCATAGTTTGAAATGATTTGCAAAAAGTTTAAAAAGATAAATAATTTTAAATTATTTTGCTTTTAGGAGATCGACGGTAAGGCGTTGTTCCTGTTATCGTTTGATGAGTTAGAGTCGTTAACGGAAAACAAACTTGGTCCAATCACTAAGTTAAAAGATGCCATTAAAAGCTTAAAGAAAATGTGGCAAATAACGACTCTTCCGAATCACGTTACAACAACGTGATAGTTTTGATAGTTTTTTTCTGATAATAGTAGGCGTTGCTTTTTTTAACTTAACTGATATTTTGCAAATGTTCTTCGCGAAATTTTTTTTTAATATCGAGCTTTTAAAGCACAATCGAACTTTTTCCTTGCGCTTGTGAAACTTTTTTTTAATCTAAAAATTATTTTGTAAATATGGTGACGTGGACTTGCTTTGTAATATAAGAAGGGTCATATGCTATGTATATATTTTTGCTAACGCATCCCGCTTTGAAGTTTGGTACTCGCTCTCTCTCTCTGTTAGTGCAGTTTCCTTTTCTAAATCTTTTCTGTCAGTTTTATAGGCGAGCATTTTTTAGATGAGGGAAATTGCTTTAAACATTGGTGCGGGCGAGTCAGAGTTTTATTTTTGATAAATTGAATCATTGTCAATAAATAAATCATAATTTATACGTTGGATTGTAAGCACTACAGATGCCTCCACTTTTAAGTTTAGGTCCAGGTGCCTACTAAAAATTGAGCACGGACTGCAAATTTAAAAGTGGTTGCAATTCTGTGGACAATTCTTTATAAACTTTGTGACAATCATGTTTTTTAATGGTTGCCACAGTAAAATTTTTGTGTTTTATATATTTCATATATCCCATCCTAAGAATTTAATCTAGCTATATGATAAATCCCTTGGATTAAATGAGTGAATCGTTTTTAATTCCAGTTGCGAGTTTAACAAGGCCTAGTCAGCAGTAATATATGCTTAGTCAGCAGTAATATATGCTTTGTCAGCAGTAATATATGCTCAAATAGTGATAGTAAATCAGTGTAAGTCTAAGTTTCTGGCTTTTGTGAAGAAGTTAAAGGGGATTCAAAATCTGCAAAAAAGAAAATTAGGTTTTGCTGGGAAAGTTATACTTGAAAGTTTTTTCATCTAAAGTTTTAACCAACCATAAGGGTAGACTCTTGTCAAACTCCTATTCCGACGTTGTCCTTCAAGTCCGCAAAGACGAAAAAACTATTTCCAAGACTACCTGCCCAAACCTTCAGCCAATTTATGTACACTCACCACATCTATCCTCATTTGAATCAGTCATTTCATGAACGTTTCGCTGCCTCTATCCATATGTATATATATCCCAATTGACCCAAATCTTAAATCCAAGTTAGTAGACGCAAAGGACGCTCAACGTCGGAACAGGGGTTTGACAAGAGAGCCTACCAACCATAAGCTGAAATTGTTTTTATAAAATTTTTAAACTAAAAAGAGAAATTTGAATTTCTTTCTACAGAGCATTCTTTTAACAGTGGAAATAGAATTAAGCATGAAATAATATATTGTTAGGGATAGTGAAAAACCGCCTAAATAACATTGGTTACTATATCCCCGACATGTCGGGGATATAGTGTTTAACAGTATTTATTTTTAACATTTCCGAAGCTTTTAGCAATGCGTATTGTCGCGACAATATGCATTGCTAAAAGCTTCGGAAATGTTAAAAATAAATACTGTTAAAAATATTAAATTTAAATACTGTAATAAATACTGTTAAAAATATTAAATATTACTGTTAAAAATAAAAAAAGTTAAAAAAAAAATACTGTATATTTATATAAAAGTGAGACAATTTATAAAAATTACGTACAGCGTTTTTGAAATAAAAAAAAATCTTTAAAAGAAAGAAGATGAACTAGAAAAGTTATATTATACTCGAATAGCAAAACAGTAAAAAAAAGTAAGACTCGAAGCGCACGTAGCAATCAATAAATTAAAATGCTTATATATATATATATATATATATATATATATATATATATATTGTTAGTGATGAATTCTAAAACTGAATATTAAATAAAATGTTGGACAATAACTGACGCTACTTTAAAATATTCTTTACGATTACAATTTTTCTATTAACTTTCCTATGCTAAGTTATGGATATAAGAGAATTGTATAAGAGCATTGTACTATGAGCATAAAAATTAAAAAAAAAAAGAATAATAATAATATTTTGTAAATGTCAAGTTTTTTCAAAAAATTTCTTCCCATACGCAGGGTGGCAAAAAATCAATAATAAAATTGGATTTAACACGGATGAAACATGGCATGTTAAAAGCTTAAACTATAGATAAAAAAATATTAGTTTCGTGTATGTCTAGTTCTAAAGATAGCGGTATTCAAAGTTTTTAATTTTATAAAAAAAAAATTTAATTTAATAAAAAATTAGTTTGGTCTCATCGAAGGTGCTTTTTTGATATGTGGTTGATTAATGATGAATATTTTATTATATATTGTTTGAAAGCAAATCAGATCTACTTTTCCATAACAAAATTTACTTTAATGAATCGTAAAGTTTTAAATATCAGCTATTTCATAAAAAATATTAAAAGTCAGCAAATTGATGAAGCCAAAAAAAAAAACAGTTCAAAACATCTCCTTCCATTTTGCAAAGTTAAATATGTCCTTAAAAAGATGCAGAACATATTTGCCTATATATATTCCAGACATATCTACCCTGAAACAAAAATGCAGTTTTGAAATTATTTTAACAAACTTTTAATCTATTAAATAAATGATCATTAGCTTGGAAATTAGGTAGTAAATTAATAAGATACTTAAATCCGCCGTGTGAAAGATCGTCTATGTACTGAATTTCATGTCAATACTTCATTTTGTTCGTTAGATATTGCTACTTAATGACAAAAAAGCATGTTGCAAAAAAAATGTTGGGTCAGCATAAATAAGAAAATTGAAACCTGCTTTGAACAAGATTTAAGTAAACAATAAGTTCTAAAACCGTTCTTTTTTAGAACGAAGACAAAATGGGTGATTGGATATCATTTATATAATTGACTTCTCAGGGGGCTCAGGAAAGCTTAGAAAGTTTAGTTTTAAAGATTTATGTATATATTAGAGTGTTACTTACTTATGTATACAGGGTTGGTCGAACCCACCGGGACACCGGGAAATTTCCCGGTAGGCAGAGCAACTTTTGTGGCTGTGGCCGCTGGCTTCCGTCTGTTACTGTACTTAACAAAAAAAGTATTTATCCTTTTGAAATTCCATCAAATCTTATTAATAATAAACTTAAGACATTATAACAGTATAGTTTTATGACTTGTCACGAGTACCATAAAACTATATATATATATATATATATTTTTTTTGTTCTTTTATTACATGTAAAATAAGCATTTCGTTACAATATTTCAAATACAAATATATAATAATAAGATTATATATAAATATAATGGTCGTTATTAAAAAATAAAAGAACGCGGGGACTCGTAGAAGACCATACGGTCTTGTCGTCGAGCACCGCTAAGAAATGTTCGTGTTAAAATTAAAAAGATAATTACAAGGTTAAAAAATAAAAATAAGTTAACAAAAGTAAGAAACTTAAAATAATCCATAATAAATACAAGATGCGTTTTATCTATTATATATGTAAATTATAGTTGTTAAGGATACACATATACTTTTATAAGTTCATGTTTAAATAAATGGTAAAAATAAAGATCACAAAAAATATCAGAAGTATATTGTTAAATCATCGATTGCAAAAATGAGTTCTTTAAGCTTTTGTTTAAAAGAAAAGTAGTTACTTTGATTAATAAAATCCTCAGTAAAATTTTTTAAAACTATTTTGTTCCATAAGAATGGTCCGCGATAATCAATACAAAATTTAAAAAGATTTGTTTGAAAAATGGGCTGCTTAATAAAATTATTATTACGTAAAATGTATTTATTTTTATCTTTTGATGAATACAAATTATGGAAAGAAATCGGGGATGAATTGGTTTTACATTTAAACATAAAACAAAGAATATTAAAAATATTAATCTCGTATATATTAAAAACTTTCATTTCAAATAAAAGAGGCTTGGCATGAGTATAACGGTCTTTAAAATATATAAGACGTGCTACATGCTTCTGCTGACAATAAAGAGGTTTAAGTTTGTTTTTATTTGCACTACCCCAAGCAATGTTTGCATAGTTTATGTGGCAATGAATAAATGAGTGATATAATTGTACTAAAGTTTGTTTATTTAAGACATTTCTCGCTTTGTACAATATTCCTATACTTTTTGAAATTTTACTTGATAAGTTTTTAATGTGGTTTTTCCATGTAAGATTTTCATCTAAACAAACTCCTAGAAAATTAGTTACTGTTACTTTTTTAATTTGTATATTGTCAATAACAAGTGGAGGCATGTTAATTGGCAGTTTATGTTTTTTGGTAAGAGGATGGAAAAGAATCCATTTAGGTTTATCAATGTTCAGGGATAGTTTGTTTGTCTTAAACCAGTCAGATATTTTGAATAACTCGATGTTCACGTTATGAAATAAAGTAGGAATGCTTTTGTGAGACATAAATAAATTAGTGTCATCAGCAAACATAGTTGTTATTAAATTCGAGGCTTTGTACAGATCATTAATATAAATAAGGAAGAGAAGAGGTCCTAATATGGATCCTTGAGGAACTCCACATGTAATATTTAACAAACTTGATGAAAATGATTTATCAGCATAAACAAATTGTTTACGATTAGTTAAATAACTTTTCAACCATTTTAAAACATTGCCTATTATACCATAATATTCTAATTTTTTAATAAGAATTTGATGATCAATTGTATCAAACGCTTTCGCTAAATCAATAAATATTCCCAATATTTATTGATTTAGCGATTGATTCAGACTCATTTAACAATTCTAAATGTAAATTTAGAATTGTTAAATGAGTCTGATATACTTCTTGTAAGCTGAATAATTGCATGCTCTGTTGAATTATTTTTTTTGAATCCATATTGCATGTTATATAATAATTTGTTTGTTAAAAGGTGATTGTATATTCTGTTGTACAAGATTCTTTCTAAAATTTTAGAAAAAACAGAGAGAATGGAAATTGGACGGTAGTGTTTTACATTAGTTTTTTCTCCTTCTTTAAATATAGGAATAATTTTTGCTATTTTTAAATCATCAGGAAAAACTCCCTGATTAATAGAGCATTTAAAAATTTGGAAAAGTATGTCTTTTAAAACGTCAAAACAGCTTATAATAATATTTCCGTTGACATCATCAGGACCAACTGCTTTATTTGACTTTAACAATTTAAAAGCACTTTCAAACTCTTCAAAAGACAAATCAAAAGAATTTAGATACGAGTTTAGAGGGTCATATGTTGCTTTTATTAATTTTTTAGGGTTCGGAATTTTTTCGGCTAGGTTTGGTCCTACAGATACAAAATATTTATTAAATTCAGAAGCAATTGATTTTTGATCAAGAAGAAGATTATCATCTACTTTAATAACTGAGGGCAAAGATTGCGAAATTTTTTTAGTGTTGCCAGTAATTTCGTTTATTAGTTGCCAAGTGCGTTTTGAGTTTAATTTGTATTTTTCAAGTAAATTAGTGAAATATATTTTTTTTGAATTTTTCCTTAGGCGTTCAAATAATCTTACGTAATTTTTATAAATAGTCTTACTCTCAGTTGTTTTTGATTTTAAATATTTAATATAAAGTTTTTGCTTAATTTTTGAATATTTTAGAATACCTTTGGTAATCCATGGCGATACAATTTTTTTATATTTGTAATTTACTTCTACTTTGGGAAAATTGA